CCAAACTTTTCTCAGATTGCAGCTCCTCTCACTGAGCTTACTAGTAGCAAAGTTCAGTTCACCTGGACTAGAGATTGTTCAGACTCGTTCAAAAGATTGAAACGTTTGCTCTCCTCTGCTCCTGTGTTGAAAAGTCCTAATTTTAATCTTCCCTTCTTTTTACATATAGATGCAAGTGGTTATGCAGTGGGCGCTGTGCTGCTCCAACAGTCAACATCCACTGACATTCTCCATCCTATATGTTACTATTCATCTAAGCTTAAACGACACCAGAAAAATTATGCCACTATTGAGAAAGAGGCTCTAGCTCTTGTGGTGTCCTTGGAACATTTTGATGTGTATCTGGGCACTTCCCCATTCAAAATTAACGCTTTTTCAGATCACAATCCACTCACTTATATTAACACTATGAAAAGTAAAAATGCTAGGATCATGAGGTGGGCCCTCAGAATCCAACCTTATTCTATTAGTATAAAACACATAAGTGGTCATTGTATTGTAATTGCTGACGCTCTGTCACGTCCTTAATAATTATCAGTTACATTAAAATTAACATAATTTTATGCCCAAATACCTTTTGTTACTTGCTATGTCAAATTCAGTAAAGTAACTTAATCCCTCCAGCCCATACTAACTATGTATACTCATGTCATGTCTAATTATTATATTTATATATTCACAGTAATGATGTGTGTGAGGAGGAGACATAAGCTGAGTGTTGAGTGGGTAGTGTTGTGTGGGCGATGTACTGCGTGACGGAACACTGTCCTGCCGCAGACCCCACCCCCTCACAACACACCTTGAGCTGTTTCATACTCAGATGTCCATACTGCATAGCATTCCACAACCACTACTTAAGAGTGGAATGCTGTCTCCTGTCTATAACACAAGACTATTATGCTGTCTACACTACTATGTTCGAGCCTCAACGTGTCAGGCTTGTCTGTGCTATCCTGTCTCTACACTGATGTACATAACCACGAGAATGCAAAGATACGATACTGTGTACTGCCCTAGTACTAGGGGCATAACTTATAGTGAAACAGACACTGTTAAATTATAGAAGTGCTTGGCACAAGAGTGACTCTGATTAATGTTTATATTAATTAGTAATGTAACCCGAGTAATCAGTAATGCGAAAGACATTAATGCAACTCCTAGTGCGACCGTTTGTCGTGTTGGGGGGGCGTTGCAACCCCTGAATGGGTTGCAATGATTATTATGTATATATATATACAGTGGACCCCCGCTTAACGATCACCTCCAAATGCGACCAATTATGTAAGTGTATTTATGTAAGTGCGTTTGTACGTGTATGTTTGGGGGTCTGAAATGGACTAATCTACTTCACAAAATTCCTTATGGGAAAAAATTCGGTCAGTACTGGCACCTCAACATACTACTGGAATGAAAAAAGTTCGTTAACCGGGGGTCCACTGTATATATATATAATTATTATCTTTTCATATAATTTTATATTGCTTATATTTGCGATAATAGCTAAATCGTAAATGTATTGCTTTATATTATTATTTGACTTAGTTTTGTTGTTAGGTAGGATGTAACATATTATGTGCTCAGTTCAAGTCTTGATTGTCTAACTACTGTAATTATCGCTCTTTGCTCGTTTCCCTGCCGGCTTCTTGCTGGGCAGCGACCCACGGAGCTATCACGTGATCGAGGGGGATGTGTCCTCACCTCGCCTGAAGTATTCAGTCTGGTCTAGACTCTCTTGGTGGTTGGACAGATTGTCTGTCTCATTATTCTTGTTAGTTCTGTAGAACTCTGTTCACAGAACATTGTATAGACTTAGTGATTTTCGACGTTGTACTGAGGTTGTGTGTCGCATAGACACTCTGAGCAACTCAGGTCCTGAGCTGTAGCTTCTGACCTAACTTGTACTGGTATCCGTGTATTATCACAGTCGGGGATTTTCTTATGCTGAACTTAGATTCAGTAGTATGGGAGTTCGGTGACTTTTGTGGAGGATCTGCAGATGGTCCCTACTTAGTGTCGTTATATTATCTCCTTGTTCCTGATTCTGTGTCGCAGTTGCTTGTTATATTGCTATTGGGCTTAGCATTCTTTTTATTGTTCAAGCAGACTGTTCTGATTGCCAGTTGGTCAAGAAGTTAGTTTATTTGAGGACTTTGTCAGTCACTTGTTTAAGTCTAGTCGAGTAGTGAGACATAGCGAACTACTCACAGCACTTACACACATACACACAAACTTACTTGTATATATTTGTAATATATTATTAAATGTTAATGTACCAGACAGTACTTAAGAATTATAAATGTGATATGTGCTTTCAGCACAATACTATTGTATACGAGAGAAGTGATTATTATTATTTTGATTACTGTGATTAATTTAATTTAATTTGATATACCTCTAGACGATACTTAATAAATTTATTAAATTTTAATTTCTCTAGTTAGTAGCCTACCAATTGTAATCCTGAAGCACTATTGAATCATACTGAATTCTAATGGATAATTGGACAAGGATACTGACTAATTGTTACGAAAACCCAGTAACAGGCTGGATGCTAGAAGGGAAGTCCTTTCTAGTATTCACTGGAGATCTCTAAGCTTTTAGAATCGCGCTTTTTGTAACAAGCAATATATACAGGAGAAGGGATTACTAGCCCCTCGCTCCCAGCATTTTAGTCACTCTGGTGACATGCGTGGCTTACAGAGGAAGAATTCTGCACCACTTCCCCACAGAGATTAGCGGAAATAAACAAGAATAAGAAATATTAAGAAAATAGAAGAAAACCCACAGGGGTGTGTGTGTATATATATATGCTTGTACATGCATATGGAGTGTGACCTAAGTGTAAGTAGAAGTAGAAAGACATACATGAAACCTTGTGTGTTTATGAGAGAAAAAATACACCAGCAATCCTTCCTTCTTTCAACAAACTGGCTGTATCCCACCAAGGCAGGGTAGCCCAAAAAGAAAAACAAGTTTCTCTTTTTCAATTTAGTAATTTATACAGGAGAAGGGGTTACTAGCCCCTTGCTCCCGGCATTTTAGTCACCTCTTACAACACGCATGGCTTACGGAGGAAGAATTCTGTTCCACTTTCCCATGGAGATAAGAGGAAATAAACAAGAACAAGAACTAGAAAGAAAAGAGAAGAAAACCCAAAGGGGTGTGTGTGTGTATATATGCTTGTACTTGTATATGTAGTGTAACCTAAGTGTAAGTAGAAATAGCAAGATGTACCTGAAATCATGCAAGTTTATGAGACAGACAAAAGACACCAGCAATCGTACCATCATGTAAAACAATTACAGGCTTTTGTTTCACACTCACTTGGCAGGACGGTTGTACCTCCCTGGGCAGTTGCTGTCTACCAATCTAAATTTACAGTTTTGCTACTTAACCGCTTGAGGGTCCGTGCCACTGTTCTACGGGTCTGAAGCCAGAGTCTGTGCCGTTGTTCTATGGCATGAGCTCAGCTCACTCAGATAAGCTGCGAGTGATAAATGTGAGCCTAGATATAAAAGAATGGGTCTATGTGGTAAGTGTGCACCATATAAAAGAAATCCCGCAGCATGCAGTGCATGAGAAAAAAAATGCGACTGTTTTTGGTTTAAAACAGCGACACTATTGTTTTTATGGTTGTATTCACAATTTCTTGGTCTCATTTGATAGAATGGAAGATATATTACAGAAATATAGATGATTTTGATTGGTTTCAGGACTGAATATAGCTTGAAATTAAGCTCAAATTTGGGGAAATGTTCAATATTTGCCAATGTTCAAAAGTAAACAAATCACATCATGCATTCAGTATACATCAGCTGGCAGGTCTAATGTGTGTTCACAAAGGAACTCGTATTATTTGTACAATTATTACATTGCATGACAGTAAATCTATTTTTTTGTGTGAATAAGAAATCAAAATGGAATTCACATGTAAAACCTGGGGACGTAACTAATGAACACAGGAAATGTTATTTTAGTGCTAGGAATGCTTGCATTATTTATTCTGAACCTGTTTTTGAAACTGGAATATTTTAAAATTTTGTGTAAATTTGGCCAAATTACCAATTTCTGATCACTTTACTGGGTAGCTGAAATAGTTGATAGGGCAGTTTCTTGTGCTCAGTCAATAAAATGGAAGGCATACTAGCGAAATAGCTAATAATTTAGTCAACTGGAACAACAGTTGACCTAACTTAGTACTCAAAGTGAGCAAAATTGCCGATGCACAAATATTGCTGACACAACAAAATTCGTGATAGCATAATTTCATCAATTTTCCATTAAATTTTGTACTTTTTGTTTTATTACCTTCAGAAAAAGATTCTCTATAATTTCATAATTTTTTTTTTTTTTTTTTTTTTTTAAATTCTTGCACCCTGTGGACAAGTTTCAGATCAGGGGTCTGGACTCTCAAAGGATTTAAAATGCTCATTATATTTAACAATCCTATCTTTAGATAACTATTATTTTGAACTTAACATTCAAATACAGTAATCCAATTTCAACTAAACAAAGTCCAGTGTTTAAAGTTTTAGTTCCCTGGAATGCTCTACCTGCCTAACCAGGTGCTTTTCAAAATGTTTTAAGCAAATGTCACCAAATTCTTTAACAATTATGTTTATTTTGAAAATACATTTTATTTTAAAGTTGTGGAGGCCCCAAGACAACGAACTTTTGAAGACCCCTGTTACTAAAACTATTTTGTCAAGCCAGCTTTATATTTTTTCCTAAAGACAAAATTTGAAAAGCAGCATATTATTTGACACAAGTGCTCAGATTTCTGTTCTGTGGGAGCAACTTTTGTATGGGAGGCTTTTTTTTTTCTATGACTTCATCCACGCTTTTAATATTTTCTCTTTCACGGCTTCTTTCCACCACACTGCTTCATTCATATTTATGCCATTCCTTACTTTTCCTTGAAGATTTGAAAATTCTTGAAATAAAATTTATGGAATACAGTAATAAGGAATTCAGAATATTTTTACCCAGTAACATCTTACCATGCCTTCCAAAGTGGTCCATGACCATCCTTATATCCTGAGATAATCCAAGCAGCAGCATGGCACAACTCGTGAATAAGTGTGTCTCGTAACCTCTCTGGAGCATCAATTACCTACCAATAAAGGAAAATAATCATCCTCCACAATTTTATATAAAGTAAAATAGAATACAGTCTCTATTATAATACCTAAACTATGAGGCTAGAATAATTTAAAAAAAAAAAAAAAAAAAAAAAATTCTTACCTTGGTAGAAAGCTCAATTCGGGCTCCTCTTCCATTTGGTTTAGACCGATCTATTTGATAATAACAAAACCCAGCTGTCTTGGTCATTCTTGCATTCCATTTAATACTCATTACAGGAGGCAGCTTATTTTCAAAGACATGAGCATTATAAAAAACGGTGTAATTTTTCTGTTAACTGTTCCCGATGCTTTCTAAAATTCTTAATATACATGACAGCTTCTGGATGACATCTACCAACTGGAACATTTGTAGATAGTGATGCCAGAAATGATAATGTTGGTGTAACATTACCACTTATTGCATACCTCCTTGGCACCTGTCTAAAGTTTCCCTCAGTTTTAGCCATGATCTTACTGGAACCTTTCACATCCGGAGTGACAAAGGGCAAAATACGTTGGACTGGTTTTCTTTTAACTTCAGTTACAGAAAACATTTCATTTGCCTCTGAATCTGAATCTGAGATGAGAATAGCCGGAGAATCACGCCAAGACGAAATGCTTGTACTTGTCGTGATTTTCTTAGGCTTTTCTTTTTTATGTGATTTCAGCTCATCTGAGATGCTGTCACAATTTATGTAATCAGCCTTGTACTGAGGAGAACACTGAACAGATTTTGGAGTTAGAGAGGGCAGACTATAGCTATCATCACTGTCATCATTAATAAAATCTGACTCATATTTATCTTCAGTACCCTTATTTGGTGTTTCTTCTCTTATTTGACTTTTGACTTTTTCTAAATATATTTCAAAGCTATCATTCTCAGCTTCATTTTCATTCTCATAAGTTGGACAGTAAGTTTCAACCAATGCACTTTTTTTCTTTGTCAAGACTGATATATCTTCAGTAACATCTTCATTGTCATTCTCTAGTTCTTTACAATTATTCCTCTCCTCTCCAGAGGTTTTACTTGCTTCATGATAACTATCTTCCTCATCGTCTGATTCAAAAGTGATGGCTCTTAGAACTTTGTCCTTCACTTTTCCTGTTGGAACATTTTCATTGTAAGCTTTGTTTTCACTTATCTTTTTACCTTTTTGCCTTCTAGCTTTTGAACTGTTCTCATTGTCTTTAATAATACTCTTTAGAACAGCACCCTCATTTTTTCTCCACTCAGAACTGTAAACTGCATCCAATTCCTTTTGTATTATTTTCAGGTCGAGAAAATTCCTTTTACCACTAATAGTTTGTGGTTTCTGGAAAGGTTCAGGAGCTGAAGAAACATGAAAATTTGAATGTATTTTAATATCTGATAAAGACACCTCCAAGTCAGATATACTATCTGCTTGCTCCTTATAATCTGAATTAGTCTGCTCAGAGTCAGAATCAACAATTCTCCTAATACGCATTGACTTTTGTGTTCGAACGTCACCCAAGACATCATCAGAACTGTCAGTTGTATTTCTTAAAGTACCTGGAGAAATGGCATCTCTTCCGATGGTACAATTTGTTTTCTCATTTGTTTTATTTGATTTACTTAGTCCCTCGGATAGTCTAAGATGAAGAGAATCTTCATGGGATATTTCAGGCGATTCCTCAACGCAACCTGGTTTGGACGACATTGTTTTTGTGTCTATATTTGGTTTTCTATGTGGCTTTGATATTCTTTCTCTATCATCATCAGACTCTTCAGAAGTAGATTCAACCACTCTACAGAAAATACCACGTTTTCTCCTGAAACCTGTATCACTTTCACTAGAACTGCTGGAACTGTTATACATGTTAAGAGGAGATTTCATAACTTTATTAACAGGACAAAAAGCCTTTGGTTTTTCAAGGTTTTTCAAATGCTCACTACCAATATTTGCCTTGGATGTTGTAGATGAATGGTCAATACCTAGAAATTGTGGCTGACTGGGTGTGTTAGTAATACATGTATATCTATTTTCTCTGTTTATAAAACTTGTACCAAAAGAACTATCTTTAAAAGGACTAGAAATAATCCATTTTGCTACTTCAGGGCTCTTTGCATTCTCTGGTGTTACTACTGTATGCTTAAATTCTCCATATTTATCAAAAACATTAACACTATTTACATCATGCCCATCTTCATACTCCAGCTGTGTTTTACCACACCCATTGACTGGCAAACATATGGCTTCATTTTCTGATCCAGAAGAATCTATAATTACTCTTCCAGTTTTCTTGCAACTTACCGATTTTTGAGGTTGGAGTCTCTCGGAAGTGGAGCTACTCACTATGCTTACATCCTCACTAATGAGTGAATGATGATCATATGCTTCCTGGGACCAAAGAACAGTTCTTTGGGTTGAAATATTATAGTTTTCACTATGCTTTGCTTCCTTTAGGTTAATATCCTTTTCTTTAAGATTCCTTGACACGAGTTCATCAATCTTTTCTTTCTTTATATTTGTCCTAATAATTTTAGAATCATCATCAGAGCTATCTGATATGGTTATAGTTTGAATCTCATTTTTGGTGCTACGTTTTTTAAAAGTTTTAACAGGAGTTGTATTGCCAGAATGTGAACTAGATATATCTTCAGTTAGAGCAGTCAATGTTGATACATTTGGATAGACAGTTGCAAGAGGGTTCCAAATTGGGCAAGGGTGCTTATCCAACATTGTGCTGTTGAATGCTCCTTCACAGTTTACCTTAGTTTGACATTTTTGTATATCTGCACTGCATGTGATTATAGTTTCATCAAAATTTAAATGTAAATCATTCCTGGGTAATTTTGACATTTTATTTTCACTCTTCTTTATTATACCTTGATGTCCAATTTGTTTCTTAAAAGCTTCCACATATTTTCGAAACCCAACTAGAGCATCATTAACTTTAGTTGAAGTTGAAAACTGAGTATCATTTTGACTCTCACAAGTATAATACAACTGAGGACTACACTTGGCTTGGTCTGTGGTAAGTCTTGGTACTAGCTGCCCATTTTCTTTTCCATGGCAAAATTCAATAAAGCTGCCATCATCAATGTCTGTAAAAATACTATCTCTATTTGGTTGTTTTGTAAAGTGTGTATGATCTGGCACTTTCTCTGTAACTGTAGCACTAGTAAATTCCTGAGAATTCACTGTAACCTCTGAGTTTTTACTCTGCAGAGAACTACATACATCAGAATTGTCTCTATTACAATCACTCGAGCAATGTTCATGCAAAGTTTGAAGATTTGTTGGAGTATCTCTTGCTGATGTTCTTGAAAACTGTTGCCTGAAATATCTATTAAAACCAAAAACCTTTTCTTTTTCCTTTCTAAAATTTGAAGCTTGTATGTCTTCTTGGAAGGGCTTGAGACTTTTGAGTGAAAGTTTACTGGTACCTGCAATGAAACATTCCAAAATTAAAAACAGAAAACTTGAGCACATGATATTTTTTTATATTTCCCACTAATACTGTTGCATAATACAGTGAACCCTTATTTATCAGTTTTTTTTCAGAGCATATTTATTGCACAACACCACATTTTATACACAGACAAAATTATAAACAAACATTTTCTCCCAAGCCCCATTATTTTTCGAAAAACACAATGACTCAAATTTGTAAACACCTGGGTAATACTCTAGACTTTCACATTTCTGCCTACCAGTCAATTTTCCCAACTTGGTTAAACCTTTTAACTTCCACAAATTGCACTTTCAATGAATCAACTTAATTTTCTATCCAAGCTTGTGTTTCGAGGGAGAGACATCACAATCAATGCAACATCTTAAAGTCAATCACAATTCTAACCCAACAAGAGTTGGCCTAACAGCCATCACCACCCTTGAAAAAAAAAAAAAAAGGGGGGGGGGATACTTCTTGCAACATTTTGATAATTTTTCCAATAATGAGAATTTTTCATAAAACAGGAGTAAACTACTATGCCTCTAATAAACAAAATATCTTACTGTAAAAGGGTTTAATGTAATGCAACCATGTACTATACTGTATTTTTTTTATCATGTATTTCAATTACACTACAGTATTTACAGACATAGTAAATACTAGAGGTTATGCCAAGACTATATATGCCATGCAGCTTAAGTTGGTTTGACTACTTTCATAAGTACATGTATTTACAGCATTTGAATGCAATTTACAAGACCCAAGAACATAAATTAAAAGAATAAAATAATCAAAGTTACATAAATTAGGTATATACATAAAAATATTCTCAACTTCTGAAGAAAAAAAAACTGAATTCAGTTCTCTCAAATTTGGAATTTTCCAAACTGGATTGATAATTCTAAATTCCCAAATCTAAATATGTTTTCAAGTAAGGAAGGTATGTCATGTCTATTATTTGGAATTTATATATTGGTCACCCCTGGATATACATTCTGAATCCTGGTGAGAGTAAGAAAAAAGGAAGAAATATATGAACAACTAGAATAAAATATTTGTAAGCAAGCGCCAGTTTTGACCATGCACAAGATCGGTGTAGTAAAATTTTACTAATAAGAACCCTCATGAAAAGAAATTTTTCATTTGCTTATTATTTTATTTGATATTATGGGCATAAATATCCTGTGGAAAAATCACTAAGACTAATAAGCTTCTCCTAAAGGTTACAATAGATGTAAGCAGTGTATATATAGCCTACAGGATATACATATATGTACACCCTAGAAAATGAGAGTACATACCTAAATGCTCTAAAAATTCATGGTACAAAAGCCTCAAATAAAACATCTGACTGAGAAAACATTGTGGTATACTTGTTGCATTACATCAAAAAAAATGAAACATGGGCATTTATTGCCATTCTAATATGTTCCAGTTGTGTTTCCGACCTACTGTACTTTTATAACTATTAGCATGCAGTCAAAAAATGTATTTAATTGAATTCACAAGAAGGATATTTGCCCTAATGCTGATTATTAACACGAAGTGAAAATATTCGTTGGTATTTGTCAAAAATAAAGGAAGCCATAAACTGCATTACTGTTTAAATAACAAATGCAAATGCAAAATACTATACTGGGCATGTAGAATAGTGGTGCAAGCTGCTCACTTTGAGTCCTTAAGGTCCTATCAAATGTTGGAACAACTTATGCAAATCAAGAATAAAATAACTGGTTTGATCCACTTGAAGAAAAAAGTGAATATATACTGGATAAAGTACTTACATTTCAAGAAAAAAGACTTTTTGATAGGCTGGAAAAAAATATCTATATATACCGCAAGCAATATATATACGTATATAGAATATCCCAGGCACAAAACCCAACTTTACATGCACAAAAAAAAAAAGTCCCCATGTTAAATATGAATGAGTATATTTTCCTTCAACATCTACCCACGTTGAGAAGGTAACATATGTGGTTTCCTCGATTCACGGGGACTCATGCCAAATGGTGGTGAGGGCAAGTCAGCAATATCTAGTGAAAGGCGAGTTGAGTTGGCACTCCCCTGTTGAGTCCCCATGTCATAAATCTGAAAATGTAAGTATGTATAGAAATACCCTTCCACAAAGACAAAAACAAAAAAAAACAAAAAAAAGTTGTAACTTTAATAGTGTAATTCCTTATAATTTACAGATAATCCTGACTATTAATATTTATTCTGACAACAATATTCTGCTAGGGTGTTTGGAGAGGTGTGGGATTAAAGATAATGAATCTGATACAAAATGGGGGTTGCTGCAGTTGTTCTTTGCTGATTATGATTCTTTTGGTAGAGTATGAAGAAGTTAGAAAGGATGGTGGAGGAGTTTGGGAGGTTATGCAAAAAATAAGAAAAGAAAGTGATGAGAGAATGGTATCAGACTGAAGAGAGTATGAAAAAGCAGAGTTATATTTACAGTATAGGTATTTAGATATTTGAGTAAACTTGTCAGCAGACAGTTTCAAGAAAAATGAGGTGAACCCTACAGTACACTAGGAGAAAGTAGGGCAAAGTGTTGAGGTGTCTGCAGAAAGAAAAATGGTTTATATGTGGAGGTGAAAAGGAGAATACAGTATACCATTGTATGGAGATGCCAACACTTACACAAGTGTGAGATGGGATTTAAATGTTAGTGTAGAGGATGCTAGAGGCAGTGGAGATATGTTTTGAGGGCAATGTGAGTTGTGAATATGCAGGAAATTCAAAGCATAGAAACTAGAACACTAAGAGATTATGAAAGGTATTATTCTGAGAGCCAGAGATGGGTTCTTGAAGTAATTTCAGCATTTAGAGAAGATGGAGCAGACTTAGATGACTAAGTGGGTGCATAACTCCAGGATGGAAGGAGAAGGGGTCACCAAAGGAAGAGTTGGAGGAGTGAAAGAGGTTTTAAGGGCCATGAGTATCCAGCAGCCACGTGAGTGTGCATACAATAAAAATAATTAATAAAAATAATTAACAGTAAGTAATAATAATAATTAATATAATAAATCTTTATTTCTACAAGTACAACATATACAGACCTGGCTGACATCAATAACATGCTATATAGAAAGCCCCTTGTTATGCAGAGCATTTCGAGAAAATTAGGTTAATGTTGCCCCAAGCCAGCTAACACCCAGGTACCTATTTACTGCTAGGTGAACAGGGACAGCAGGTGTCCTAATGTTTCCACCCGTACTGGGGATCGAACCATGGACCTCAATGTGTGAGCAGTGTGCTACCAACCAAGTTTATGTACTGCTGGCAAGAAACCAAGGTAGCATTTATGAAGGGGTTTAGGGAAACCTGTGAACCAGCCATCTGTTCTGAAGGTGAAAAGTATAATGCTTGCACTTTGAAGGAGCAGTGTGGACATTCAGTCTGAAGGGTCATTTGAGTTTTGAGGTTCAAACTTCTGGGAATATAGCTATTGAATAAATGAATGATGAATTTTTTGGGACCACCCTATCTTGGTGAGCGATGTAAAAAAAGAAAAAAAAATTCATATAAATATAGGACAGCTAATGATCTAAAATTTAAGTTTCGCGCTGACTGGCCCTTCCACAGCCATCTCATGGTGGTGCTGCCACTCTCGGAAATGTCAGGTCATGCTGACAATCCGTCTTTTGATCGTCTTGCTCAAAGCCTTTCGCATTTTTTATTTCCTTCAATGTATGTTCTTATCCTGTCTGCCCTCCTCTCTGAAAATCCCACTATTATTTTAGAGTTAATAGGATTTCTTTACTAACATTATTTGCCAAAGCAAATGCAGCTTCCTCCATTAGCTATTGCTCATCTTTTTCATTACTTCCACCTCTGACCCCCTACCATCCTCATCCTAACCATGCAGCATTAAATAATTGACTTTTTTGCATTATCCTATGTTCTCTACACATATGCTGTTATGTATCATAATCTATGTAATTATATTTGTGTATACCTGAATAAACTTATATGTACTTACTTACATGACACAAGGGTCATCCCACTGCAGGTAAAAACAACAGACATAGCCCCACTCCACATACGGGGTAGTAAGGCAATAGCAAAGAACTACAGACCAAGAGTGCTAACGTCCCATACCACAAAAATCTTTGAAAGGGTTCTAAGAAGCAAGATTGCCACCCATCTAGATATCCAATAGTTACACAACTCAGGGCAGCATGGGTTTAGAGCAGGTCCCTTCTGTCTGTCCCAACTACTGGACCACTATGACAAGGTCCTGGATGCTCTAGAAGACAAAATACAGATATAGCATACAGAGACTTTGCAAAAGCCTTGACGAATGTGACCAAGGTGTAATAGCATAGAAAATGCGTGACAAAGGAATAACAGGAAAAGTTGGTAGGTGGATCTATAATTTCCTAACAAACAGAACACAAGCAGTAGTAAACAGAGTAAAGTCTGAGGCAACTACAGTGAAAAACTCTGTTCCACAAGGCACAGTACTTGGTCCCATCCTGTTCCTCAACCTCATATCTGACAGATAGGGATGTAAGCCACAGCACCATGTCTTCCTTTGCAGAAGAGACCCAAATTTGCACGAGTGTCCTCCACTGAAGACACCACAAGACTCCAGGCGGACATCAACTAAATCTTTCAATGGGCCGCAGAAAACTATGAAGTTCAATGATGAGAAATTTCAATTACTCTGATATAGAAAATGTGAGGAAATTAAAACTATATTGGACTATAAAACAAATTCCAACCACACAATAGAGCAAAAAACTAATGTAAAAGACCTGGGAGCAATATTGTCAGAGGATCTCACCTTCCAAGATCATAACACTGTATCAATCACATCTGCTAGAAAAATGACAGGATGGATAATGAGAACCGCAAAAACTAGGGATGCCAAGCCCAAACTTGCACTCAAAAATCACTCCCTATAAAAGCAAGACTTGGCAGACGATGCAACATCCTCCCAGTGAAAAGCAGGGGTGTCACTAACACGTTAAGAGGCAACACAATAAGTGTCAGGGGTCCGAGACTGTTCAACTGCCTCCCAGCATACATAAGGGGGATTACCAATAGACCCCTGGCTGTCTTCAAGAAGGCACTGAACAGGCACCTAAAGTCAGTACCTGACCAGCCGGACTGTGGTTTGTATGTCGGGTTGTGTGCAGCCAACAGTAACAGCCTGGCTGATCAAGCCCTGATCCACCATGAGGCCTGGTCACAGACCGGGCAGTGGGGGTATCGACCCCCAAAACTCTCTCCGGGTATACACATGTTTAGCACCTACCATTCTACAATAATAATGGCAGCATACTTGCCTCATACACTGAATGTCTGTGGTTCAATCCCCAGCATGGTGTGAAACATTGTGCATGTTTCCTTACATCTGTTATCCCTGTTCACCTAGCAGTAAGTAGGTAAGTACCTAATAACATGTTCATATATATTTCTCAAATATGACCTATATCAAAATAGCGTAAGAATTATTATTAATCTGCCCGAAGTGCCTAGGCACGATAGTGGCCATCTTTGTAATTAAAATATAACATGTAAACCACACATTAAAAGCTTTACAATGAAATAAATATTTGTATTAGTGGACTGGTGTGGGTCGCATCCTGGGGGGGGGGCAAGATTGAAGGCCCCAGTGGATTATTATTATAATCAAGGGGGAAGCACTAAACCCGTAGGATTATACAGCGCCTACGGGGGGATGGAAGGCATTCAGGCTTAATTCAGGGAACTGGAGCACAGATCCAATTCCCTAGATCAAGAGCCCCTCACCAGCGTCAAGGAGCCTTCCTTGAGGGGAGGCCCCAGTGGAAATAAGACAAACATTCTTCAATGATTCACTGACTCTCTTGGATTATCCTGAGTGGCTAACCCTCAGGGTTAAAAATTCAAACAAATATTATCTTCAGGTCAAATCTAGCAAAATCCTGGACACCTAAACCCATTTCAGAAATTCTTAAAAGAAATCTAATTTTTAAATTATTAAACACCTGAAATAAACTCCACCACAAAAACCACCAAACTGGAAGCTAAGTCGAAATATATTGCGGGGAAAAAACGCTAAACCCATCAGGGACACACAGCACCTGGGATGCAATCAAGGTTGACCCAAACGGGCAGAAAAGTCCACTTCCTTGGATCAAGAGCACCTCCCTGACGGGTATATTCACAATAATGTAGCAGAGAATACCTGGTAATACAGGGTTCCATGCCCTAGCAGTGAGAGAGATGAACAAGACACAACCTGTCACTAGACACTCCTCCTCAAGTTTAAATATCGTCCACTCAGCCAGGGCTCAAAATAATTCACTTTAAAAATATAATAAATGCACACATAAAATAAATTAAACACTCTTCAAATGAGAGAGGTTCACAGGAATATTTTTTTAACTATTTTTTTTACATCAGTATGCTATAATGAAAAAATTATGGACGTAAATATATATACATCAAGAAAAAATATAACCCGGCAGGAAACGAGAGAAAGGATGGCGGGTCTTTTAAATAACATAATAATAATAATAATAATAATAATAATAATAATAATAATAATAATAATAATAATAATAATAATAATAATAATAATAATAATAATAATAATAATAATAATAATAATAAATAATAATTTTTATTTCTACAAGTACATGTATAAGGTATACAGGCCTAGCTGACATCAGTGGCATAATACTGTATATAAAAAACTTATTATGCAGAACATTTCGGCCAAATTAGGTCAATTTTGTCCCAGGATGCGACCAACACCAGTCAACTAACACCCAGGTACCTAATTTACTGATGGGTGAACAGGGACAGCAGGTGTCATAAGGAAACACGTCCTAATGTTTCCACCCATAACGGGGATCGACCCCCGGACCTCAGTGTGTGAGCTGAGTATAATAATAATAGTTTATTTAGACATGATACATAGTTGTGCAAGGAATTATAGTAGTTGTGTGTACATGCCAAAAGTCCCTTGTATGCAGAGCATTATGGGCAGCTTAAAATTAACCTAAAATTAACTAAGCAGGTAAGATCCCAGTGGGATGAGCGGGAAAGTCGAGACAGGCGAAGTATAGCGCTGGAGAGGAGTGTTCTTAGTCGTAGAAATAGAGCCAGGACTTAACCTAGCAACTAAGGCGATGGTGGGACAGACTTGAGAACAGGAGTAACACGGTCTGTTGCATCGAACTTGTGGTAGTTGAGTAGCTGTCAGCAGGCTAGGTCGCATCAGAGGCCAGCACACACGTGGGAGTTATATGAATAATTAAGGAGGCAGGTTTGCAGTGGAGCCATTTTCAAAATTTTTGAAGCTGCTCCTAGATAGATGGTATAATTTAATCTTGTTATTGACGGTGTAACGTAGAGGCTTGATGAACTCAAGAACTTGGGTGAGTGAGAAGTGAAGAGGTGATTCAGAGGCACACTTGACTGTTCCAGCACCGAGTTCAATACAGGTAGAGTTCAGTACAGGTCACGGTGTCAGTATTTGAAAGAGAAGTGTTGAAGGTAAGGTTTTCCCATGAGGGTGTACTGGAGTCGTCGCTATCTTCCTCTTCTTCTGGAGTGGATTCATTGGGCGAATCTACAGTAGTGGTAGCACGTGACTGAGGGTCGACAGGAGCAGTGGAGTGGTGTTATGGTGGTGCAACAGCTGGTTGGGAGTCGTGATTGAGGCAGCATGATCAACGTTGTCGGCGGTGGAAGTGGTTATAGAGGTTACAGGAGCAGTTGCTTGGGCAGGAGACAGGTCTGCAGGTGCAGTAATGTTCACGGCGTTGGGAAGGATCTTGAGGATGTCTGCTGAAGGTGTGGAGTCCGGAATATTGAAGGCGGAATAGTTCGTTAATAGGGGTGAAAGTGCCGGGGTTTGCTGCGTTTGCAAGGTGTGCATACACCATGCTGTACAGCACCTCGGAGTGAGCACCGTCGGGAAGTGGAGGAGTGGCGTGTAGAATCTTGGTGGTGTAGGCTTGTAGTTTGGTTATTGCAGCGTATGTCGGTGAATTGGAGGCGTTCTTCAGATCTTTAGTTTTCTTCAGTATGATTTCTTTCCTGAGTGGGCACTTAGCTGCAAGGGTATGATGATTACCCTCGCAGTTAAGATATGTTGGAGCCGTAGTGATGGTGCAGATCTGTATTCGTGTCCAACATCATTAGCAATCGAGATACGGGGGGTTGAGGGTCAACGCCCCCGCTGCCCGGTCCGTGACCAGGCCTCGCGGTGGATCAGGGCCTGATCAACCAGGCTGTTACTGCTGGTTGCACGAAACCGATTTACGAACCACAGCCCGGCTGGTCAGGAACTGACTTCAGGTGCCTGTCCAGCGCCTTCTTGAAGACAGCCAGGGGTCTATTAGTAACCCCCCTTATGTGTATTGGGAGGCAGTTGAACAGTCTTGGGCCTTTAATTGTAACTTCATATTAAAAACTGTAATATATGGAATGACTATTTTTTTTTGTGATGTAATTATGCCCAGTGGATCTGAGAGAGACGCACTGTGACCTCAGTAAATCTTGTTTATTATTTATGGCGTTACTACTCGCAGGATGAACTGCGGGTGCAAAATGATATACTCCGCATGCTAGTGGCTTCCTTTGTACTCAACAATATTTTGTTACATGTAGACCACATTTTGTACACTACAGAAAGAAATAAAGTTTGTTTCCTTAGCCGCTCAGGAGGTACAACTAACTGCTACTGCTGGGATTTAGGCAAGGGGTCCCCCTGATTTGAAACTTAATCTGGAATCCTTTTTTTTTTTTTTTTTTTTTTTAGAGGAAACTTGTTGCCTCTCCATTATCTACGCGCTATATCTGGCAGCTTCCTGGAAACAGGACTGCATAAGCAATCATAGCCCCTATAAAGCAAAAACCTGCCCGAAACGCTCTACATAACCAGGGACTTTATATAAAGTATGACAATATGTGCATAACCATGGGTTTTCTGTACAGCATGCCAAAAATATCACCTTTTCTGTACCAACTGTCACCTATTTCTGAACAAACTGTAAATAATACTTTGTAGAGATAAGGTTTATCATTTATCTATTATCTTTCTAATAATTTCAGCATTAGGGTTCATGGAACCCTAGGACAGTCACAATCTTCCAGTAAATATAGCATAAGGGTTCATGAAGCTTCAGGACCCTCTCAACCTTTCCAGGTTATGTACCATTCTTTCTTGATGTATCATAAACAGTCAATTAGTTATTGCCTTATTAATCTTAACGGTGCCCCGTGGCCTGGTGGCTAAAGCTCTCGCTTCACATGGCGAGGAGTATCCGGGTTCGATTCCCAGCGAGGGTAGAAATATTGGGAGTGTTTCTTTATACCGGTTGTCTATGTTCCCCGTCAGTAAAATGGGTACCTGGATGTTAGTCGACTGGTGTGGGTCGCATCTTGGGACAAAACTGACCTAATTTGCCCGAAATGCTCAGCATAATATAACATAACAGGAACATAAAGTGGGACTAATAAACCAATTCCTAAATGATATAAGCTGGGAAGATAGCCTAAGCAACACAGACCCCAACTGATGCCTAGAACAGATTAACTCTGTGGCACTCGATGTATGCTCAAGGCATATTCCTTTAAAGAAAAAGGAGGAGTAGATGTAAAATAGAGAGACAGACGCTCCCTTTACAGGCGAAGGAAAAGAATAACAGGGCGGCTAAAAGAGGCCAATGTGTCTGCAATGCATAGGGAGACACTTGTCAGAGAAATAGCAAACATCGAACTCAAGCTAAAGGAATCTTATGGGAGTCAGGAATCGCGGGAAGAACTAAAAGCGTAAATGAAATCGAAAGAAACCCAAAGTATTTCTTTTCTTATGCCAAATCAAAGTCGAGAACAACATCAAGAATTGGGCCCCTACCTAAACAAGATGGGTCCTACACAGATGACAGCAAGGAAATGAGAGTTACTCAAGTCCCAATATGACTCAGTTTTTAACAAGCCGCTAACCAGACTGAGAGTCGAAGGTCTAAATGACTTTTTTATGAGAAAGTTAGTTTAATATCTTTATTATGCACCCCATACCCATCCTGTGGGCGGTAGTCAAAAGATTACAAAGGTACATAATGGGTCCAGGGACTGGACCCCAAAGTTATGATAGCTGAACTAGCTACAAAGGTAATGAACTCCAGGTAGATCTGGTCACAATCATGGCAAGTTACAGAGGTAATGAATCAGCCTCACTCCTATACATGGTTACAGTCATGAACAAATTACAAAGTAATGAACCACTGATACGTCCACACCTGGTCACAATTATAATGAGTTATAAATACAAATATTAAGTGGGCCATACACCCACACTAGCGCGCGCGCACACACATACACACACGAGGGCGCACGCACAGACATATGCACACGAGCGTACAAATATATGCATACATACTAGCACGCACACACGCACACACACACACACACACACACACACACACACACACACGCACACACACACACTCACACACACACGCATACACACACACACACACAGTCAGTCAGCAGACGTGGGTCACAAGGCTCCGAGAACTTTAGTGGTTTTTAAGGCGTGCAACAACTGCTAGCAGTAATAAGTGGTAGTGACAACGTCAGTGAACAATCCTACGAGTGATAACCAGAGTTATTAGTTAAAAAAAGTCGAGAGGAAGCCTGAAATCTTTAATATTTCAAAGTGTCAAACTGTTAGTGGATAGTAGGCTTCTGTTGCTACACAGATTCAAATATACAAAGATTCAAGTGAGTGTGGAAGCGGGTGTTCAAGAATTTCGAGTGATTGGATAACAAGTGAAATGTGGGGCACCATACAGTGAGAGTGAAAAAGTTAATAAGCAAAAGTAGAAAGGAAAAATATAATATATAACAAGGGAAGGTGGCATTAGGCCTGCTGAAACAGTAACGTCACAACAGTTGTGTGACATTATACATATAAAGTGTAACACCGAATGTGAAGTGTATTCCAATATAAGTGAAGTGTATTCTATCATAAGTGACATTGAGGGACGCGGGATGCATGAGCATATACGGTTATAAAGATTACAGGTGAAGAATTTTCAAAATAGTGATAGAAGGCTACGTCATCAGCATCTGGCAACTTGTCATCGCATCACTGCCAGCTTAAGTATCACTCACCTGTTGGGGTTGTTTGGGGGTTCTGAATCCTGCCTTGCGTCACTGTTAGATACTGGTCACTCACTCCTGCAAGCTATTACCAGAATTAGAGCAGAAATAGCATAGATACGGTGAAGATAGTGTTGACTAGCGAGGAGCAGCCTAGCGAGGGAAGCTAG